TCCATTTGTAAAACCAACTTCTACAAAAAATCGCTACCAGTCATTTGGAAAATCGACGAAGTTACCTTCGTACATTGCCGCTTTCAGAGTTTCCAACTGACACTTTGCTAAATTAAGTTGAAATTCATATTGTAAGTCAACACAGCTTTCTAATAAAAATTCAATGGAGGTATCGGGCCGAACCGGAGCTTCATTGATACATGAGCGAACCCGCATTGAAATCAAAGTGGAATAACACATAGATTAACAAAAGATAACTATTAAAATAGTTTTGCAATCCAGCTTACGCCTAATATTTTCGAATAATAAACCGAAAGATAATCTTAAAATTGAGATATATCGGTATTCAGTCAAACGTTCAATATAGCTAGCCAAATAGAGATACTAAACATGATCTTCCTGACGAAAATGTAAACAAAGAAATCAAACAGATTTTAAACCCAATAGCTTTGAAGTCCTTCCACCATTTAATAGTTCTTTAAACGGCATCGTCGTTACGACATATACATATAGTGCGGGCGTTGTGAAGTAGTCTTAATGTCTGGGCCGTATCTAGTAGATGCCGGCTAAATCAAGCAAGTAAAGGTCGAGTCCCAGAAATCGAGTCGCACAGAGACCGGCAGTTGGGAGTTTCTCTTGTCGGCCACATCGTACCACGATAGCCGCCATCAATAGTAACAACACCTTTGACCTTGCAATTACGAGTTTCATCATCATAATCTCGATGTTGGATGGAAAACTCGTCGTATTTCAAGTTGCGGTGTGGCACAAGGACACAAAGTGACCTTGACTCCCCTACCGACCACGACGAATGTGAGCTAGGATCTGTTAACTTTAGATTCACGTTCCGCTGTCTTCGAGCTCATACACGAAGCTAAAAATTAATGTTACGCGCACATATATATTACACACGAATGACGTCCAAACTGTCGGGCTATATATAGTGTGAGAATATGATGCAGTTTTCCCACTCTCTCCCCTCCCCCTCTCCAAAAATACGTTTCTCTTTTGTATTTTTGAATTTTCATATAAATATTAAACGAATTGTCCTACCGGTTCGTTAGCGGTCAGTGGTTGAAATCGTGCCACATAATCACTTAATAACAATCACAGGCCTCGCCAAATTGTTAGTAATACTGTAAGTATGATCATTCGAACGTCTGTTACGTTCGTTCACAGACTCCCATTTTGCGACGTCGCTACGTAGCTGGTTTGCTTCGCTCCGGTAGTTTTACGCGAATCAACGGCTGCCACCTTGATCAGTCTGCCTGTACTTAAACGGTACGTAAAAAAGCGTTAGTGCCAGACAGTCACTATGCATATTATATCTCTCTATCCAAGTGACGGGCTGCTACTGAGCGCTAGCTGATTCTATAGATGAACGAATGGCGTCCGCCCTATTCTGGGGTATCGGGGTACCAGCAGCCCTCGCAACAATAGAATGCCATTACGATTCGGATGAAAGAATGAACTAATGTTTAGGATGCTAAGGTTCAAGCAATTATAAGGACCCGTAATGACAGCAGTTAAAAAGGCCACCGTTTACACCAAAAACTAGCCCTGATTACAAATAGAAAGATATGTTCTAAAAGCGAAATGATAACTGGCAGACGTATGTACGTACACCAGATCATATACTCGTTGGCCATTATGAACTGCTTAGTTTAAGCCCAGACATAATCAACTTCGTTTCACTGCACTAGCTATAGAAAACAGGAACTATGCTACAATGAATCTTAATGTGAAATCTATATAATGTGTATTGATACTGGACGAAGTTTATCTATCAATACTTTGTGATATTGCGTATGTTCAGTGGTTAGCGGCTGCTATCTGTCAATAGCAGAAAAAAGAACTGGAAGGTTTCGACGCTGAACGCGGCTGAAGTTGCTGCGCTTTGAATGCTCTATATAACGGAGCTAGCTTATGCCGTCTTTTTGACGAGCTCTCATAGGATATTCTGGCTCATCCGATCCTGCTCGATCCATAAGAATCGAATGAACTTGTCATTGAGCGCTTGTTTTCGTAGAATGTTGCCGAAAACCTGTCCGTTATATGGGCACCCGTTTCATCACAAGTTGACTTCGGGCTCGAACGAGGAACGCTGCTAAGATTTAACACATTCCCATCTTTAGAAATGCTTATAGCACAAGATTGTGTTTATTTTAGTAAACAAAAACACTCCTTGAAATTGTGAGGCACACAAGCATTCGGGCAGCCAGCTTTTTTGAGTCGAATATAATTTGAGGAGAAGATCTTTCCAATTTACAGAAATATCTTGTTCGAGCCGCCGCTGGTAATAACCGTCAAATCGTCCAGCTGTCTCGTTGGGAAACTTAATTTCTTTCCGGCTTAAAATGTCGAGAAAATTTAGAGGCTAGCTTATATCACTCGGAACAAGGTTGGTATCGTAACCTGCGATACGGTTACGAAAACGAACCTACCATGCATTGAATAAAGTTAGATAATAAACATCAAAGAGGCTTTCTACGGCTCATAGAGTGTGAGCCACGCGTAAATCTACAGTTGAGTCAAGCTCAAACGACCCTGCAAAGCGAGCAGTTTGCCTATCTGTTTCGATATGGCATCACTGAACGAAGAAAATGAATAAGCAGCTAGGTTTGTGTCACATTTAATAATTTACGATGATAAAGCGCTATCCAAACTACATATGCTAAGCACACAAGCAAGCAAGTCTATCTGCCAAAGATGCGGATGTACCTTTGTAGTGACTCTTTTGTATTCAGTAACAAGTGTCTCAGGGAAATCGTGGACTGTAGGATAGACCATGTAGATATATAGCACAGCACAGAACTGTGCTGCAATAAATTTAGGGATCTGCCAGCATTCATAACCTGTACCCAGTCATATGCCCTCAGCGGGACATGGTACACCTTCTTTGGCCCTCTTCTAGATACATCGAAATAATATTCGCGCTAGCAGCTCGCTGTTTTAGATCTCCTGATGTGAGGCCAACATCCCCTCTGTGACCTTCCGTCACTTGGGTGGAATCATAGTCAGTCAGTGATTTCGTCTCATCCAGCCATTGGATACGTAAACCATTTTACTGCTTAGTTAGTTAGTTAGATAATTTACAGACCCGTGTTTTTTACGTGCAGTTAAGGATCGATAATATGCTAAGCATGAAAATGCCAGTGCCAGTGTGTGAGCAGAGCTAAAGGAAGCAACCTTAAACAGAAGCTACGGTAGCACAGAGAAGATCGATAAAAATACATTCCACCAAAGAAGCTCCTAGCACGCCGCTTTTAATCTAAAGTAGTCTGCCACGTTCAAGTGCCAGAGATGGACCATGGCGACCGCTCGTCGCACAGGCGTCAAACGTAAAAACAGAAGAACAGAATAATCGTGCGTTGCTACGTAACTGCCAGTTGACGGTACCAGATCCCTTCTCCTTGGTGAATGTAGGCTCAACATATATAGTAATATCCACATCATAACGCACCAACTTCGACAGATACCCGCCAAGCCACGTATACGTGTATATGGTCTAGCCTTAACTCAATACAACGCTTCATGAGTTGTAGTCGCATCCCCGGCCGCATTTCATCTATGAATTCCTGTTTGTGCCGCCCGCTTTCCTCTACCCTTACATTACACTTGTGCTGGACGAACAGCAGTGGGATGAAGTGCCAACATTTCATCCCGAGGCCCCGCCGACATCAGGGGTCGGTCATCGGGTCAGCAGCTTTCAATGGCGACAATGATGATGACTACGACAGCAGCAGCAGTGGCGGCCGAACGACGGCGAGCGGAACCAGCGAGTAACGGTGTAAACGGTACACATATTTGCTGACGCGGTATCATAATTTGGACAAGGCTAGTAATTAACAATTCGCCACACAGACTCTGATGATAACAGTACAATATTTTAACGAAAAACAACAAGATTGTCATCTTCTGTGCAGTAACAACAATAGAACGACGATAAGGATGAGGATAATAATGTTCTTGGAACAAGAGGACGACAACGGCCACGAAGAAGAAGACGTTTGAAAGGGGAGAAGGCCTGTGGCGATGCCGCACGTGCTGCTGATGCATGCAGAAGGTTATGAAAGCAGATGTCAGACTGTTGTCTTTGCAGGCAACAGTTAAAACAGTAGCACAATGGGCACCGTCATACCTCCAGTTTAGTCTGCCATGGTCGCTTTTGTCGCTAGTTTTCCTGTTCTATATCGGCCGAACACGTAGCGTACCACAGGCCAGGCATCGGTGACATAATGCCGCTGTCGTCATGAAAGATCACTGCCTCCGGACCGCTAGAAGCCTTACCCAGATCAGCACGATAATATCACACAGTTATAGATGAAATGTACACTGTGCATTGCTATTAATGGGTATTTTGTTTTCTCGATAACATTGACAGTACTATAAAAGGGCACTTTCCTTAACAGCGCATAAATATATCAAAAGGAGGGAGTAAGCGTTTTACTCATCTAGCTAGCCACCTAGTTCATCCATAGCAATACTGCAGCATGGCGCCACACTACAAACGCATCATACTGAATGAGAAGTATGCCGAATTAGAAAAAAAAATGGGTTCAACGATCTACGAGTGCTCCGCACATACCCATTTTTTGCTAGGGCTATTAGCGTATAGCCCTCTTCAAGGGCTAGACGAAAGCTTTACCACCTTTGTCGAAATCCTTCGGTTCGACCCTTATTGATGGCCACCGCTTGAACGTTCCGCGCATCAATATAGTACTAATAAGCATAAATATATTAGTTAATATTATTACTCAGCATTGTTTCAAATTCGAACGAATGTTTGATTTCATAATATAAAAAACAACAAACAATATAGTTACGGATATATTTATTTATCTGCTTATAATCAACACTGTTCTCAGTAAAATACAAGCTATATATATATATATATATATATATATATATATATAGGTGTATTTATCAACATTTTTACGATTTTTTTAATCGGTAACATTTATTTTGTCACTTCGCTTTCAACATATATATGTATATACATACATATATATATATATATATATACATGTTGGAAAGGTAAAAAAAGGACGAAAGGCAAGACGAGAAATTACTGTATACTACTGTGAGCAGAACCTTACAAGAACAGAGAGTTTAGGCGTGGGGGGCGATAAATTTCGGGGGGTCAAGTGAATTTGTTCGATAATGGTTCTTGGATTCTGTACGGAAGCTTTTGAATATATTAAAACTTGCTTCTACATGCTCAAGGTCGCATCTGATCGTTCTCACTATAACGCAATAATACTACCTACACCTGTTCCTCTACTCATGGGAGCCATATATATATAAGTATATATATATATATATATATAAGAGGGACATTTGAACGAAACGATTGCTGGTCTCAAGTGGCAACTCCATAAAAAAATAAAGCGAGAAATAGTCTTTTAGTTCTAAATGTACGTGGCGCTGGCTCGTTTACGGTTTCGAAAGAAAGCGTTGGCTCGAAAAGCCGTCTCATGTACTGGGCACAAAAGCCATATTGGGGTCTCGGTAGAATACGATTGATTAAAGCTAAGCTAGGGTACTGTTCAGTGAGAACCGCTTCCAAGCTTTAACTTTGTGTAAGTTCGATTGTCCCAAGCAGATCGGAAGTAAGTTAACTACTAGTTAAGCTTTATTTGATGGCATTGTCTCTGCTACTATCGACTGCGATTAGCATTTTTGCTGCTCAAAGCATCTGTTTACTTAGTATAGTTAAAACTTTTCAGTAACCGAAAAATCAGCTCGAGGAGAATGTTCACCCACGAAGCCGAAACGAGATAGGAGAGAACTAAATAAACCATGGCGTTGAGAGATATATTCAAGATACGCTTTATTTAACCTTTAAATGTGAATGAGCCGTTGGCACTGCTGAGACTCTTCATTGATACCATCGTACATAAAGATGCTTTATCATTAAGTGTACCATCGTCTGTCCTATTGTCTGCCGACCTGTCTGTATAGAGTGTTGATAAAATGTGTTCGAAAACGATGGACGGGTAACTGTCGAACGCGCACCGCAGTGATAGCAGACAAATCATCTACGGTTCACAGGAAGTGATGACAGTTGACATCGCCAACATACGTACCGTTACGCTTTCGATTGATTGGTCAGTGTGGCGTAAGCAGGTGGCATATACTTAGGCTGATGGTTCATAGGCGTTGCGTTTAAGGCTTATGTTGAGTGGCGCTGTTGATCGATGAATAGCGATTATGACCACATCATGGCCAAGGATGTTTTTTTAAATGTTTGTTTTCCATTGTTGTCACTGTGTGCGGTACTGGACCTGATGACAGCTACTGGCTTGTACGACTATAAAAGCATGTTCCAATAGATCTATCTGGCTTATGAATCTACCTAGAACGCGAATTTCGGCACCACCGTTCCACGCATTGTATATTCCAGATCGCTCAATGTAACTTCGTTCGAACGCCTCGCTTTTTTCCTGAAAGCACCTAAAGTAATCGGCGATGATGTCACTGCGGTCCGAATTTCTCGGCGTTTATGGATCAATGAAGTTCCTAGCTCAGGCATAACCTCTCCATTAGGAGCGTCACCCGGACGTAATAATAGTCGATAACCAGAGACGGGTTCGTTGACAATGGCGGTCATCGCATGGGTGTGTCGAGTTCACTAACTCCCTAGTGTCCCTCCGTTCGGCTACTTGGCCGTCGATCGATGACAAAATCACAAATTATCGGCACTTAATCGGCATTGTGGGTTCCGACTATCGGGGCACGTTCAAAGGATGACTGACTGCCTGGTGGAAAGCAGCAATTAAGCTCTCATTGAAGGCTTCGGAATGGTTGTACCTTTCTGCTGGCTAGTCAAAAGGGAATATCTACACGCAGTCTGATGTTGTGCCATCAGCGCCTCAGCAACGAACGATTTGATCGGAAGCGTGATCTATTCTAAGCGTTATGCACATGGCAGCGGACCCCTAAAAAGTTGTAACGCTTTACGACAATGCTTATGGTGTTCAGCTCGTCGAAACAAGGAGTGATACTTTGTCAGATGGTAGTATCTTCATCGTTCGATAAACGGCAACCGGACTAGATATCGCATGGCAGCAGACGGCCATTGACCTCCCTGCTGGTCGAAAACCACTCAGACCATCGCGTGACAATTTCATAAAAACCAAAAAAGCCGTTTGTATGGTCGCCGCATAACGTTGGTAAATAAATAATTTTCGAGCGGCTAGTATACTTGCAGTGTTACAAATGGAACGGTCGGTGTCCTAATTAACCAATGTATTTACCCTTTTCCTCAATAGTTTATCTAGCGGTCAGTCCTTCAGCTGGTCTAGAAAAGGTAGAGCTATACTTGTGAAGTAGAGTAAATCTGACGTTTCGTAAATACAAGTGAAAAGTTAGGCAAAACTGGAGGCGCTCTTGGCCTGATTGACATTCTGTATTTTATCTAATCTATAGAGCTACTATACATAGATGTTCTACGTAGGTATTTGTATAATAGATAGATTTAGCTCGTTAATGAGGCCTCAGCCTAATGAGCGTTATACGTCGCAGGTCTATTAGCGTCGTCGACTTCGTATTAGGTCATTGTCGCCATCTATTATGTATCTATTACATTTGCCTTCTGCGGTGCAGTATTATACCACGGCTATGGCAAATGGTGTAAAGGTGTGATTGAATTGTCGATTAATTGATTAGCATGAATGAGGGTCATCAGCATTTTATTCTATCTAGAAGACTTTTTGATATACTCGAATGGAGAATGATCTGCCAACGATTTCGGTCTTCGTGATGGCTCAGCGACAAAGGTTTGAGCTTGAAAATCACCCACGGATGCTTGAAGAGCCTGCGTATTCGTCGTCTTGACGACGTCCTCTTGCGAAGACGCCTGCGGCTGTAGCGAGATGTGCCCTTGCTGAGCTTCGAAGTGCAGGGGTAGTGGTCTGAACTGCACTGGCTGCTCCTGCAGCTGGGGGTGAAGAAGGGGCTGTGACTGAAGAAGTTGAGCTGGTTGATGTTGCAACTGGGTCGACCGAATTACATGTGGTCCGAGTTGCGACACCGCTGATGGTGAAGGGGTTGAATGAAACAATTGAGTTTGTGGGATAGACCGAAACTGGGGAGGCGAACGCGTTTCGATATGCTGCGGAATAGGTTGGGCGAGAACTTGGTATTGCGATGATCGACCATGGGTTAGCAGGTGTTGTTGAGAGCCAATGTTCAGGGCCTGTAGAGGTTGCTGCAAGTTGGGTGGAAGTAAATGCTGCAAGCTCGGCGCACCGCCTTGCAAATGCTGTAAAGAAGTATGCGACAATTGTTGAGTCAGCGGTGTCTGTAGCGTCTGCGAATGTTCCTCTTGTAGGCCATGGGCTCTTGCAACCTGCTGCGGAGCCGACAGGTGCTGCGGGGTTGTTTGAAGTAACTGAGTGGGTGGGTGCTGTTGAGTCTGATGCTGTGGCTGAAACGTGGCCACAGGTGGCTGTTGGTAGTGTGGGGGAAGAACCTGCGAAGGAAGGTGTTGCGATGGATGTGAGGGTGCATGTTGTGTAGAGGAAACTGGAGCTGCTGGAAATGGCGATTGCGGAATTTGAGGAGATTTCGCATAGCGCTCTGGAGTGGTGTGAATATGTGGTGGCTGCGAAGGTGGAACGATAGAAGGAGAACGCTGTTGATGATTGGAAGGTGGCGCATCCTGAAGAGTTTGTGGCTCTTGGAAGACGCCTGGTCCTTGATTGGTTAGGGAAAAGGGTTGCAGCGAAGGGGGAGGGACCGCAGTTGGAGGATCATTAAACGTTTCTGGAGACAGTGAAGCTTGAGGCGAGGGTCCCTGGATGTTGTCTGGGGATGTTCCTTGATGGTAAGCGATATGGGGTCTAGGATGTACGCGAGCTGCAATTTGAAGCGCTGACTGGCTATGTAAATGCTGCGAAGCTAACTGTGTAGGAATAAATGCTGCATGGCCGCTAGGGAGTTGTTGCGATACTTGCGGGGGTCTCGTATAAAGTGGCGCTTGGTGGTGGCGGTCATGTTGGGGCTGATGATGTACGTTGGCCTCGGCATGTTTAAAACTAGCCTCCGTAGTCTTGTACTGTTCAAAACGTGGCGCTGGGACAGTCAGAGCTGTATTGGTGAATTTGCTAACGATTGCCTCTTGATTTTGGAGAAATGTTGGCGCTTGCTTAGCGAAATATTCTTGCAAAGGAGTTTGCGGAAGACCTGAAGGAGAGCTAGCTTGAGGAAACTGTACGGGTTCTGACTGGCGATAATATCCAAGGTTAGGTGCTGGTGCGTCGTGAATAGTTTCAGGTTCTACGTGGTGTCGAGGAAATTCTCGCTGTTGAGGCACGATTTTTAACTCCGGACGCCTCTGCTGATCGATTGCTTGCAATGGCACCTCTTTCAAAGGTAGTTGGATATGAAGCGGTTGCTGAGCAAGCTTCAATGCCGCAGCCCGTTCAATCTCAGTCAGCTTGGGATATAAGGGAATCTTCAGGGTTTCCGTGCCTGGAGTTGCTTGAAGAACGGATTGAAACTGAGGCGTTGCGGGCTGTTTAAGACGTGTTTGGTAAAGAGGTTTAGGTTGTAAATGAGACGGCGCTGACGGGTAACTCTGACCTATTAAACCAGTCTGAGAACCACTTGGTGATAATTGAGGGGTGGGCTTATGGACAACAACAGCAGTTGGCGTCCGACGTGGCGGAGCTACAGGCGTAGCTTGGTCATGAAGGGAAGCCTGGACTGCCACTACGGAATGCACCACCGGTTGGCTAAGAGGGCTAGGCTCTGGAGATGCAGTTTTTGGTGGCCGAACTAGCTTGTAGGCTTCAGAAGGACCAGCCAGCTTTCCTGGTGGGGGTAGAAACCCAGTAACTGACGAGCCTTCGAATAGCGGCACTGGTTTAAGATCACCAACTGGATCGTCGTATACAACAGGTTTAGAACCAGTGAGTGGTGAGTTAAGTTCCCTTGCCGGTGTTCCATCGCCATGCTGAAGAGGCTGGCGCTTCTTTTTAAAGATTGGTTTCGCCAATCTTCGCCTTACGGGAGGAGCGTGTTCTGCAGGTACGTAAAAAACAGTAGATTGATCACGAATGGTCTGACTTAATTCCAGTCCGTTTTCCGTGGTCTGGAGACCTTCATCAGAGTTTAGGTTTAGTTTTTTTTTGCGAAGGACTTTTCTTCGTGGCAGTGACTTTTTCGGTGGATCATCATAAATCAATCGATTGGGCGGCGGGCTTTTAAGAGGTGCTCGAACGTATGCATGTACAGGCCCATCATACATTTTTGGACCATTTGGTAGAAGCGTAGTTTGATACATAGAAGAAAGAATGTTAAATTTTGAGGGGTCAAATTTGGGGGAATTAGCTTGAAAGTTCTCTTTGCGGATTATTGACGGGTGACCTTCGGACTGCTTCTTAGTGGAGCTAATTCGCAGCGGTTCGAAGGTTGGCGAAGAGTGCTGTACGACAGTTAAAGGTGTTTGTTCCAGGTAGTTGTTAGGAATCGGGATGGGTGCTTGATACTTCAGTGGTACCACCAAAGGTCCTGTTGGATCATAGCGTGCCACCTTCACTGGCCCCAAAGGAAGAATCGGGCTTTGCATCGGCATTGTGATTGGAGTTCCGATTATATTAAGAAGAGGCCCGATCTGAATAGCCTTTGGATGTGGCTTGTACTCAATACTTTGAGAAGCCGGGCTTGAAAAGTAAACTGATTTTCCTGTTTCATACATCCTCACCGGGCCGTTCGGTAACACAGGTGCATGAAAGGACGACGCTGTAAACAGAGAGCCCTTAAGCTTCACTGAAGGCTCGCGTAGCTTCACTGAAGTCTTGACAGGAAGAGTCATAGGCGAATCCTTGTCATCGAGGAGTACGATCGTTGGCCGTTTTTGCACAAGTGAAGCTGCAAACAAAATGAAAATTGTGACAGGTTTGATTTAATTCATGGCGAATATCAATTGAATTTCATCAACCTCTAACAATGTTTTTTGAATGAGTCCTAATAACTTAATTATGGCTGCAAATCAAAGCATCTAATCTAGTATGTGTTTTGATTGTTTATTTGCCTGTGGAATACTTTCATATTAAAGTTATCCCTGTTGCATCACTTGGTGGCTGGCTACTTGAGAGCTCAGATTAGTGCTTTATCAGAGCACATAAGTAACAGTTAGTTCAAAGCTAACATTAGCGATGAAATATCAAACATAACATAGATGATAGTTTAGAAGTTAGAAACGTAGTACTGCCTTCGGCGCAAAAGGGACAATTTTATAAAATAATAATAACCTCTCTTTTGATCGTCTTGATTGCGTTGTGATTGTGAGGGGCATTCATTGATTATTACCTTCGAGTATATCCATGATCGAACTTAACCAAAAATATGTCTCGTGAGTATTCAGGAAAGTGAACGTCCATACTCAGTGTTGGAAAATATGACTAAGGATCAGAGATGGACTATATAGAAACTTTGCTGAACGCACTCATTTTAACTTGCGCCTATAAATTTTGGTGGTTAAAGGCTGTTGCTTAATCTATTATTTTCCAGTAAGCAGACGTTATCTAGGAACTATCACTCTGCTGAAAGGTCAACATGTGTCTACGCTCAAATCGCTTCCGTGCTATCTATTCAATTAATAAGCAAGCTGTTGCATTACCGCTATAAGAAACTTGTACGAATGATCTCTTCTCACGCCTAATTCAATAATTTACCTGCAGTCTGATGCGAGTTAGTACCGGGTTCGTTCGTTTTGATTTGTACACGAAACCCATTTTCATCAGCAACGTATTGGACAACGCGCTGGCGGCCGTCGGCATCAGTGAATCCGTAAGAGCCAATTTTTCGTCCGTTTCCATCGCCAACTTCTTTGTGAAACTTGTGCGACTTATCTCCATCTCCGATTTCATAGCCAAAATTGTAGTTATCACCATTTACAGGTGATGGTGCAGAGGCAGCAGGAAGTGTTTCTGGCCGGTTCCTAACAATTTTCTGTTGAAATATGAAAAAATCACTTTGTCAGTCGATTCTACTAGGCTGTTACGGATAAATCCGATAAACCTTGATACTGAATAACTTTTGAACTACGCGCCGTTAGCAGACGGAATGTGGCTGGTGAACACTTTAATCTTGTAAGTGAAAACTGATTGAAAATACCTTAGACGAAATGAGTTCGGAAGCAATTACATGTTTTAGTCTCGAAAATCAACGTTTAGTGATCAAGTTTTTGTTTCTCGAAGGCCACAACGTTGTAGAAATTCAGCGAAGACACTAGGTAAAAAGGCCTTAAGCGAAAGCAAAGTACATGAATCACCAACCGCTTCAAGAACGGAGCTTGTAGTGTAAATACCATCGAAGAGATGACCCGGAGGACGAGAGCGCGTTGCCGAAATCGAGAAGGCTTTTCACGTAGGCAGAGCTTGGAGTCTAAGGGCCCTATCGGCCAATATTGGCATTTCACATGTACCGTGTTCTAAAATTACTACTCATTTTACAAAAAAAAAATCGGGAATTGAGTAAAAAATTATTTTTTCGTGAATTGACTCCAAGACAGTTAGAAATGTGTATGGTGTGTTACACGTTGCACAGCTTAAATCACTATATAGGCCAAGCATATCCCGTTATCCGGCATATCCCTCTCCGAGAAACCATAGAGTGAAAGAAATTACATATGGAGACACAAATGGTAGGCTGCTGAGAAACTGCTGAGACAGCCGGATCAGCTTGTAACGACTTAATGCCCTATTAAAATTGACTATATATTGCCTAGTAACCCGTAAAAATGTACCCATAATGTATTCAAAAACCGACTGTTACTAAATCATAGGAACTGTACTGTTTATTGCAACAGCATGGGCTCTAAGAGGTTCTAAACCTTACAAAGGTACCAGTGACAGAATTTCTAAATTTTAATTCAATCAACATGCTCTTGTAACAGGCCCTGACGGAACAGGTAGACAGAAAAATTGCAAAAATACTAACTTTAGCAGTTCGACGATAACTGTTTAAAATATGAGTGCTTATAAAAAAAGAATGGGAGAATTAATTTAACGGAACGCAGTCATGTAAGCGAGGGGTGATAGAATGGGGCTAAAGAAGGTGCAATCGAACGGATACTTGACAATAGAAGTCCCGAAGATGCAATCGAAGGAAACGTTTTTTTCGACCGTCGAATCCTCCCTTGGAAAATTAAGGAGAGTTAGTTTAAGCTTCGCAATGCGAACCATCATTCTAGACTAGACTTATTGACTTAATAACATTGTATAACTGAGGCCTTAAGTCATCAAATAAAGGAGCGAAAATTACTCCGCCATTGAATTCTCTTTGGGCTGTGAGTATCATCGAAAAGTAAGTTTCAATGTGTAGGGAGTAGGAATGAAGGTGGTCTGCTTTTTAGTAACAAAGCAATTTGCTTTTTAATCACAAAAAATATGTACTTCATATAAGCAGTCTAAAAAAGTGATGGCCAACAATTATTTTTGATAAGAAACATAATACAGAACAGAGAAAATGGATGGACCGAATACAGGGCTCATCAGAGTTTCGAGGCTACTCTTACAATGTATGTTGCTGTGATTTTGTCTCCGTTTCATTTCAGTGTCGTTGTCTGGTCCACCGTATTACAAGGGCACTAGTGGCCCCAGTATACGTGCAATTATTATAATAAATAATTCTACTAGTTCATATATTTGGTCGTCTTCTCGTAATTGTCGTCGGCGGCTGTTGCTTTAGCCATTGTTACTTCCCTACCTTCTTTCACTTCAGAATATAAAATAATGGCTGTGGCCAAAGGACATGACGCATGTACCGCATCTGGGAACGCATCAGCTTAAACAAAAGAAGTCATATCTATCCCTGTCGTTAATAGATTTATCACCACGGGTGATGCTTGTCCATCTGTTCAATTCTAGGGTTCATTCTGAAATCGGTCTTTTTCGATGACTTGTATCCGACCGATATAGGCTATATCTTGGCGGATTTTTTGTAACAACGGCCACAATGCTTTGCACGCGGTGCCTTTTTCTCGTTGATGCTGTTGTTATGGGATGATTATCGCCGCTTCTTTAACCGTTATAGTGACTATCAGATTAAGTTATTGCTGGTGTACATATATAAATAGAGCTTTATAAATTTCGGGCAGTTATGTGTAAAAATAAATACGAATAAATATCAGCATCTCGAAGTGACATCTGCTGATAACCTGATCGATCGATTGATTTGAGGGACAGTTCTTAACAAAAAAAACATGGGCACCTCAATCGATCAGTCAAATGCACATTTCGTTATACAGTGATACGAGAGCATGTATACGATTGAAAGCCTGAGCTATATTAAAGTTCGAACTTACTTTCGACAAAAGCCAAACTGTGTAGTTCCGAATCCTTCTATTTACAAGAGAACGATGTACCTCGCCGCTCCTTCTGCGAGGCGAAACAAGGGCAGTCTTCGCTACAGGCCATGCCTCCGACCTAACGCATAAGTGTAGCGCGACGCCAACAGCATAGATATTTCAATCATATGGATGCATTATTACAAAGTGGTCTGTTTCATCCATGTTGAAATAGACTGTGTTTTTCTATGAGTTAAGACAGCTAATGCATACCTACGTCTAAACCGAGCCAGCTTATGCGGCGAAGATGACGTACATTGTTGTGGAGAAGTTGTTTGGTGCGGCTGTGCCCGGCGTGTCGTGAAGGCGCGGTAACTACATTGTCACTCAGTATTGCTATCATTGGCATTACGATGATCATCAGCCTGTGCATTCTATCCAGCACGTTATATATAAGATGACAACGTTTCAATGTTTAGTCCTGTATCTCTGGCAGTCATAGCACACGTAATATTTGACAATTGCGTCTGATGCGGCTGCTGCTGTATCTTCGTCTAATGTGTGGTCAACCTGAGACTTAAATAGGTGCTATCTTCTTTTCCATCAGCCGAGTTGAGTTCCGGTAGAATGCTTCGCCTTATTTGTATTATTGTTTTGGATTCGCATTGGTAGAAGTGTAAGTAAGCAGTACAATACACGCACCATGGACGGTTGTGCAGGCTGTGTCTTAGGAGGAAAATTCATTTTTCTATGTATTATAAGAGCCAAAAAAGAATTGCCCATTGCATGGGCCACCCCTTGTTGACGGCGGCCATCATTCGTCCGTTCACCTGTGCAGTAGGAGGAGAAGGGCCTTACACTGCCCTACAAAGCTTCAAATAGAAACAAGCATATCTTTTTACTATCTTTTGTGTTAGTAAAAACGTCTATACATTACCTCTAGCAAAGCTGCACGATTCGTTTACCACTACTGTGTAGTCTTCTAGAACAGCGGCCAACTTTTCTTTCATTCAAGACCTACCGATATTTGAAACAACGGCAAGACATAGATGTCGATGATGCTGACGGCAACACGCTTTTTAAAGCGCAGCCACGATGAACAGATGATTTACGCTGATTAATGGCGTGTGTGAGTTTCTATTCGGAGAATTGAAGCTTCGAGTAAGATTTGCAGAACTCTGAGGCTAAAAATAATATAACGGACCTATTGATATTACCGGAAATGATACCTTCCTTCACTATTCTCAATATCGTGTAAACATAGTGTATAATCCTTCATTCAAGTTCTTCCTTCAAAGTTCTTCATTTGTCAATAGGTAAATTGCGTCTTAAATTTGACGTAAATGGCTAATAGTCCGCTTCTTTCATGCCAGGTCAAAAGCATGTATATTGAATAAAGGGTCATAGTTATTGCACTGTTTATTATAGCGCAACTATTAACGACAACATGATCCTATATGGCTTCAGGCAAATAAACAGGATTTAAGTTATAGTTTTTTTGTTATTTGCTTTCGCTAATTCGCGGACTGGGGTCAGTTCAAAAACACATCATAATAAGATTCTGATACAGCATATAGCATCCTGTTCCTAATGTTATGTGATTCATGGTAGCAAATAATGGTGTGAAAACCCCAAGGAAAAGAAACAGTAGAACCGTTCACGTAGCATAATTTGAAAAGAAAAATCAAAGGCTTGGAGAGAACCAAAATTACACGCAGACACCTAGAAAGAAAACGAGCGATGTAGGGTTGCCAAGAGAAATTATACTGCAAATATAAATAAAGCGGCTAGACTGTAATGAACGGTTACCTAAAGCGAGAGGGCGGAGAGATGATTATTCAGTGTCAAAACACTTAGAGAGAGGAAGAAATAAACTTTCTTTTTAGTGTTATGAGCAGGTTAGCGGAAGTATTGGTAACGGTCCGGTATTATATAAATTAAATCAATAAAATATCTATTGTTAGAGAATCTACGGTAGGCTGTACGATAGCAGTTGGATTAAGGCGCTCAAAGGCTTTAGACACGTCGGGGATCATCTCGGCCTTTGCAGGGCCACCGATAACGTGCGTTCGAATATCGTTCTAAGGACGTGTTTCATAAAATCCCATGAGGGTGTGATGAAAAAGTTGCTCTTCAAGGCGAGATTGTAGCTGGTTAGGTATATGGATATGACTTAATATTTCTATGAAAAATAAGGCGTACTTTTATTTGTTAGGTTTTTGCCCTTAGAAACGGGAATTAACGGTTATTCTAAACGCAGCTAGGACTGCAGAAGTAGTAGGATAACCCTCACAGCTGGACATGTATATATGACGGCGACCAGGCGATATATGATAACGGTTAGAACCGTCAGATGAGATTGCACCATCATTCGGGAGGCCTATAAGCTAATCGCTATACCAATTCGAGTGATATACGGTACGCCTGGCTATGTATGTATAGGGAACCATTAGCGGCACCACAGGCGGCTGATATATATCCTGGGCAATTTATTCAATAGTAGTATATAATAGGCATATATTTGCTGTACGTCCAGACGAAAATCAACGCCCGAAGACACACCAAGAAAATCGTCTTGGAACATGAGCTAGAAGGTCCTAGAAGTGGGGAATAGTCCAGAAAATTTTTCGTTATCAGAAAATCATCAACAAAGACCGACTGGCCGGTCTGATATGTATTGTACGAGCTCACTTGACTTAGCCTACCCTCCCTTCAATGGCTGCAAGAGACCGTCGAACTAAAATGCTTGACGTGAACGCATTTTTATTATGGCTTCTGGGTGAATGACGAACTCCTTGCTACGTGCTGCCACACGCTTCCGAAGTATGAAGTCGACTTTGTTGAAATAGTCCCGGCTATTATGGTAAAGAATTCTCTAGCGATCAGCTATTATATGTGCATCGCAACAGGGGTCAAGATCACGAAACAAACTTCGGCCAAAAAAACCATACCGAGCCCGGCTTTGAAAGAGATTTTGCAGATTAGAGAAAAATTGATTAGAATTATTATCATTTTTTAATCGTATCAAAATTTCTAGCATACGTTGATTGTACTTTTGGGTACGATTTTATTTTGGGTTATCGCCTAAAATGGTCCAGTATCTTAGTGATTAGTAATTTCTGCGTGTGCTCCGATGATGGAGTGTCTTTGTGGACATCATACCTGTAACACACCGAAAACTGCCATCTTCGTTGTTGTTCATTCATCAGGTCTTGTAACCGATTTAGCAGATATGGTGCAGTGTGATTTATTATATAAAGACGCTACATAGCGTAAGTTATTATCACTATTATAGGTACCGACTACTGCGCTCCAATGTTGTACTTGTTTTCACTTGCGACTGAATACTTCAGACATTGAACTGAAATTAAGCCTTCACTTGAAATACTCGACCCCATATAAGCATATCCAGATATATATATATAATATAAAATAAGGTGCTATATAGGCACTAAAGTGGACTATAGTATCGGCGACTACGCTGAAATTGCAAGTTTTGCTTACTGCTGGAAACTGTTCGTCAGGGAAACTATGACTCTTCTACTGACTAATGCTCATTCATACATGCCACAGCTATTTGTATTAAATAGGACTATATCATTAGATGTTCTATCGAAGTGTCTATTTCACGGATAAGCCGTAACGCTCTTCACGAAGAATTAGTAAAAAATGAAATTCTATTTTCTAAAAAGTGACAATAAATAGGTTTCTTAGGTGTAGATGAATCAGTGAATGAGTGCCATGATCGTTTCGTATCTACGAATGAAATTCTGTCGTTGCGTTGAATCTTCGTACGCCAAACTGGAACTTCTCAGTGCCGCTTTCGTCAGTCCGTTCCTCTTCGCCTCAGTGCACGCACATGCACATCTGAGCAAACGTTATGATCGAGGTTAAACGACATACGATTGCCCACGTACAGACCGCACTAATTTCCACCACGTATACAATACATGCAGCACGAGCCACTGCAAAATATCCTTTATGACGCTACTCGAAGACGCGTAAACAATGGAGAATAGCAGTAGCGAGCAATTGCATCAAGCGGCGGCTGGAAAAGATATTTTACCTACGACTCCTCGCTATTTATATGCGATTGCTCATTATCTTGGCTTCGCATACCTTAAATCGATGGATATAAAGTACGATAAAATAAGCTTTCATTTTTCCAATCTTTTTCGAAGAAATCTAACGTATCAGATATTGGCCACGGTCAACTTGGCCGTATCAATCAATCAAAGAGATATCAATGTATCAGTGTGATGAATAACATACATACAGGATTTAGGAGCATGGCTTTGAAACATAGGAACTGCGGCTGTTATCAGCGACATAACCTATCTCCTCGATTTACAGCATTTTTACGTATTGTACGTTGATTCACAGAATGTATCTAGCGGCTAAGGATAGAATTTCGATACTATAGAGACACAATACGTAACTACAGGATGAAGACCACTTTAAACGGCACATCCTATATCAGAAATAAGACCACAGGGTCAGAAATGTTTTTTTTTTTCGTTCAATTGTATTTCTTCGTATCTTCGAGCGACCTTTTTCTGACTTCGACGAAAATTAGACAATGATTTGATTCTCGGCCTCGCTGGATGCATCGCCCCGTAACGTCCGGTGACCGGTCCGAGTATCGCTTATACTTCCGTTACGGCAATCTTCCGTCACCTTGGATCGGTCTGCTTCAATATCTGCTTTACCCCACCCAAACGCCACTGTGACAAATGCCGGACTGCGCATACTTTATTCGTTTTACATTTGCTGACATAACCAATACAACTTTTTGAGCCTCAGATTTCCGTGATTCTACAGAAAAAATATTTCCTGGCAAACTTTCTCGTGGCATTTCGAAATTACGTACGATTCAGGAAAATTCTGAAAAGCGATCTGTGTTGTTTGTGTGCTTAACACACCGCTTTCGATAGCTTAGACACACATTTTTATGTACATACGTACACCGTGATTTTCTGAGTAGCAACAAAATCAAACGGACCGGCGATGTTAATATGAAACTTGAAAGCGAAACAAACAGTCTACATCGACGTACGTGCGTACGTTTTATGAAAATGATAAGAACGCCTGAACATTTACCAGGCCCAGGGCTCCTCCCGAACATCTGTGCCCATTGTGACATCACCTTATTGAGACGAACTTTTATAATTAATAATTCAATTAAGTTAACGAAAAGTGTTGTTAATGAAATATGCATAGGGACGAATCAGTGTGAGCGAATAACCGCGTAACTATTGTGAAACAAAACTTGTCGAAATGTTCAGACCGTTTTATAGCTGGATAGGTTGGAAGTTCTACGTGTAAAGAAACTAAACACTGAGTAAGGTAGCTAGTTCAAACACTTCGAAAACGGACAGGAGTGCATCGAGTACGTCCGCATCCATTAGAAAGACTGTGACACAGATGTGATCGCGCACAGTTGTGTGTCAACCGCTAAATAGTCATAACGGACCTCAATTGGCTTTGTCATATCATTTTGGCCTGTCGTTAACGCCAAACGGCTTATGGTAAAGCTAATGCCAAAACAACTGAATGCCCGTGAAGAACAGTGTCAGGGAAAAATGTTCAGACACTTCTAGAGAGGCTAAACTCGCTTGAACACGTCATCACGATTGACCAGACGTGGACGCAAGGGACGCAATGATGAGGCGACCGAGACCTCATTCTTCCAGTATCGGTTCAAAAGCGGACCTCAACAAAGGAAGCTACACGATCCGAGTTTAAAATAAAGGTGCTCCTCTCGGCTTCCTTTGACTATCGAGGGTTACCCTATCAGCATGCACGCTGTCCAGCTCCATGGTTACCAAAAAGTACTATCAAGAAGCTCTAAAAAGATGACACGGCTGTGTCTGATGCAAGAGACCAGAACTGTAGCTTAACAAGTCCTGGATCCTCCATTAGGACAGCGTGCCGGAATATATTTCAGTACCCTTACAGCAGCTTTTAGGCAGAAGCAAAAGCTCGGCCTTGAGTCTCGTATTTACCAGATCCAACCCTTTTTTTTTTTGTTTTCCCCAGTTCTGATTTTTGAAACGTAAGAGGAGTGTGAAGGGAAAGCGTTTCGGGGAAAAGGAACAAAAAATCGCTGATCCGAGGATCGAATTTGAATAGTGCTTTGAGGGTTGGACAAAAATGAAAAGAAAAAAAATACCTAGCAATTTGCAATAAGCGATTCATTTATTTTTTAATAAAAAGATTACGTTACAGTTAAGATGTCAAGTAATCTGTTATATAACAAACAATTCAATAGAAGTCTGTGGTGAAATTTTTTAAAGTACGCAGTCAACACCATTAACACAGAGTTGCTCAGGCGGAGCATATAAACGTATTGTCTATATATATATATATATATATGTATATTATGATTAAAGCGTAAAGCGCATTCCACTGACATGGATACAGGATTTGTTATGTCGAGGAGCATACAAAATATTACCTTTTTTCCTTCTTTCCCTGTTGCTGTTGGCGGTAAGCTTTGAATGTCATCCGCTAATGATGTTTTCACGTAAAGCAGTAACAACAATAGTTTTAATCTCATCTGAAACAAAATAAATTTTATATTATTACCGGATTACAAACGAATAGTCCAAACGGATCTATGCGTAGAACAATAATGTTCAAATCAGATATCGAAAATTAGAGGTAAACAATTGAGTAAAGATGAGATTACCGCCAATATAACTTTGTGGCATTTTCGAAAAAGTAGCTTTAAAAAATTGCAGGTTGCAATTTGTACGTGTACATTCTGCTATTCATTTCTGCTGATCAAGGCCCCACGTTACCAACTTTAGCATGAAATATATAAATATGAGGATATCTTAGTACCCGCGAAACTAACTGTGAAAGTAAATTGTTGGGCTCGCTGTGTTTATTATTTGATGTATTTGAGTATGACGAACGGGTAACGAACCGTACGACTTTTTCGGTTCGGAATCAGGTCATATCGGAATCGACCTGCCTGGTCGACCTACCGCGGCAATATGGCCTCTGTTAATTACTAAGTCATGGTAGACTCATTGATTAATTAGCCAGAGGGCAATTGTACGAAATTTATTTGAAAATGTCGCATCATCTATTTACTGCCGACAGTTTCATGTCTACACGGATCGCATGAAACTGATTTAAGCAGGAGCAAACGGCTTAAAATAAGGACCAAGGAAAAGGAAATGATAATGACCTAGTGCCAGGCAAAAAAAAAACTCATGGAAACCTTCCATTATGAATTGTCCTTTCGCACGAAACGTCACAGCACTCCTACGACCATTCTTCACATCATCGGTGAGACGAACCAGCTCCAAGTAGTGGCAATGTTTGGGTAGATATAGTAGCTACTTGGCATCGTATATACGCTAAAATGCGGAAGATAAAATCATCGTCAAAACGCACAATTATTTCCATAGATTAAATCACAACTGTTTATTCTTAACATTATCTGCCGACAATTAGATGACCAGTTCTGTATAATTACTAATAAATATAACTTTGTATGTATTAGAAGATATTAAGAGCTGCAGGTAAGATACTCCTGTTGCCATACGCATTAAATAAATAGCGACGGAATATGCCTGGCAGTGCTAAACCGCTCAAAACTCGTTAGTTCATGGAAAAATGATGGTAAAAAAACTGCTTTTTTTGATGAGCAGCTCGATCATCACAGTAATCGACATATCTTGCTCGTCTTACGCTAAAGTGGACCATCGCAATGAGATAGATAGATATATCTGTATTACTTGGCGCATATGGGAGTTGCAAAATCAAATCTCCCTTGCTGAACGCTATATTGAAATACATTTGTACGAGGATTCGAAAGTCGTTTTATACTTTCAATGTTAAAATCAGTTGACACATTTATCTTCTTTTGTACCTGTCGTTGTTTCATTGAATAACGAACGGTTCGACCCTAACCGCACTCACTACGTTTCGCTCACTGCTATCAAACTTTCCACTTTCAAATGTACTATATAATACAACCAGGAGCGTATATGGAATCAATAAAAGAGCAGGAAGTTTTTTTTTATTTTCGTAGGTAGTCACATAATTGTTCCTTCAACGTTTTCTGAGCTGTCGATAAGCGGTTATTGACGCCTTCACTTGTTAACGTTCACAGTAGAATAAACCAGTGGTGGTACGTTGCGCGGTCATAACCTGTTGTAACAGCACGTGTAGAAGTGACGAAGATCATCAGACGGACCACCTGTGAGCGTTTCGACCCCCCACCTCGTACCCCTCTCCCCAAGCTGCGTTGGCTGAATCGAGTCGGAATATTATAAATTATACATTTTAGATTGCCCTATTAAAATGTCGATGCTTATCTCCATCGGACCATTGCATCTTATTTTTATTATTATTACCATATTTTTTTCTCTATTTCATTATCTCGGCTTACCGATATTGCTAATGGGCGGAAGTTCTTCACTGTAGCCAATTAAATTACGACTCTTTTCCCTCTTCGATGCGGAAACAACTAGCGAATGTAATGGAGTCCCTTGGACATGGCAGTCTTACTGCTTATTTAATAGTTTAAACGTCTATAACGAGATCAATCGTTAGTTCCCAGCCAAAAATGGTCTAGAGACGTGAATTTTTAATTGCGCTGCGTAGTGAACGAAATATGTTCTCTGTAAACGCAATGGACACCGATACACGCCATGCTAAGCTCACTATTAAGTTTATTGGTAGATCACTGCATGGACAAGTAAGCCATGTCACGTTATAGTTCGCGTAATGCACTCGATAGCCCCCTTTCCCCGCTGAAACAGCCTTTTTCCTATAAAAACAATAAGCTTTTTAGTAATCAACGCCTTCACACTAAGTAATAATAAAGGGCTCTATGGGTATCTTGATTGAGGTGGTAAAAGTAAGAAACGCATGTGTCTTCAGCTTCGCTGTGCGTGTATCAAAGTTTTCAAAGAAAATCCTATTTGACATTCTGGATTTTACGTACAATAAGCCGCAGCTTGTCATCTTAAGTACGGCTGTAGCTGCTGTGAGTGACTATGTTTGCTAGGTCTCACTATTTTCAATTTGATGAGATTCGGAACTTCAACTAGAGCTGTTAACTTGGCTAGTTTTACTTGCCATCTGCGGTCAGATTTTATGATTTAGCTTTTTATTAAATTATATATTAAATAAATTATGATGACCGATTGATCAGTGCCTTTGCTGTGTACACAGCATAGCACCTGTACCCATAACGACCCTTCAAGGATTATTCAGATTCTACCTGTCTTAGTAATCTGTTGGTAAACCGCACTGATCGAAATCCAAGATAATCTATCGTAAATTACGCTGATCGGACAGAAAATACAGTTACAAACATTTACAAACGAGTAATAGATAAATGTGACTACTTAAAATTGCAGCTGATAGGTAGACACGAAGTGTCAATAACCCATGCGTGCTGAATGACATCGTCAAAACAATAAACCTTGGTATTATAAATGAGACGCTTACTATTCCTTTATCTACGGAAACCTTAAAATATTACTAAAATGAATAGATTCAGCTGGCTGGTAGGCGGTGCGCAGCACCCCCCTATGAGGAACGCCACAAAATGCGTGCCCCACCCAAAAAAACTTCGCCGCTTTGTACACACTTAAATTGAAGATGGCCGTCGACAGCGTGACGGTTGCTTGCTACGTCGCAGTACGACGCCCTTCTAATGAAATCGGCATTGTTTTTTGCCGTCCTTAACCTCTGTGGGCAGAATCGCGTATCCAGAGACTGGCAAAGTTAGTTCGCTAGTTGCGTCGGCGGATTCATACCGAATATCGAATAGGACATTGTTTTAATGTCAGGATAGCAAAAGGTGGTTGCTTTTTGCTCAATGCGCCTTTTTGGCTTCCTCGGGCAACACCCAGCCCCTCCGGCGACAGAGTCAGTCAATAAGACACACTATTCAAATACTGAATGCCGATCCCAGCTCATCGGGTAATGTTCGCATAACTCCTACAAACTATTAAGGATCTCAGCCATATTAAGTAACACTTGCTTTTTATGAAAAGCAACGATTAAGCTCATAAGGCTCAGCCTTGAAGATCGTTCGGGCCAATCACGTCCTACCACAATAGGTCGAGTGGGCCATCTCCTAGTCCACTTATATCCGGCGCTTCCTTTCTCTGTTTGCAGATTTGCCGAATGTGTAACATAACTTAGTAACGAAAGTACAAGAAGTTTCACCTGACGATAAATAAGCAGTCGTTCGTTATCGATTATCCGTCACCGTCGGGTCTGCGTATTAAATCGATCCGCTCATTTTTTCAGTGCTTCCTTGAGATGTCGTTGACTAGTCTCTGTTGTGACTAGTGTTTATAGTGTGTTGTAGTATATGTAAATAACATCCATGTGCGCACTTATAAGTCTATCAGCATGAGTCCAGTATATATGTGCATGTAACGATGGTAATGAGGCTCTGAAACATCGAATGCATTACATTGCCACAGTAAGATTTTCACATTTTACATAGTGGAAGGGGATCGCGACAGGAGGGCCACTACGGGGTACAGGGAGGCGCAGAGCTCCCATCAAATTCTAATAAAGAATAGCTAATTCTTTGGGCACCGTTTACAGAGGTACATTTCACTTTCTCTTCATGATAATATCATTACTGTATCTACATACGGTAAGTTTCTCATTATCGAGTGAGTGTTGGTGAGATGTTTAGGTATATCTATGCACCGATTCAAGAAATGAGCGCGCCCTTATCGCATGCACTCGAGTAGTACTATTCTCATTATTGATATTAACTTTCAAAGCTTCCTTTATCATAGTTGCGTGGCCAATGAATCATTTGTCTCTACCGTACATAATGGAAGACGGCTGCGACTAGTGATGTCTACAAATATAAGCTGGCAATTTTGTGTAGTCTTGTTAGCATTTGTCTCTGTTGCAATAAAGATGCCTCATCATCAATGGTTTCTTTTGATCTTTAGAAAGGCCTCATTTGACGATGACGATGACAACTCAAAAATGGATTGCATGCCAGCTTTTCTAAGCTCCGTAAGAAAAAAGGAAATCTTTCTAGTGTCGTTACTTGAAGAGCCGCTTTTGTACTATTTAGCTAACGCATGTAAGCACTTCTGAGTACGGCCCACGAGACGCAGTCGAAACGCGGACTGTTTTTGAAGACATGACATTTACCAGGACGTAGGGATATTGTTACATAATGCCTTGCTCACGAATCGATGTTCCAACGGCATCGATTGTAACAAAAATGAAGTACCAGTGGCTTCAGAGCCTTTTAGGAGTAGGATGCGGTCAAACCATGTAACCTTATTTTGAGGAAAAGCTCTTCCGAAAAAGCGAGCTGTTCCTTCTTGCGGCAGGGGGCAGCTGAGGGCCAGCGTAGACAAAATAGACCAGTAATCGTCGTTGTGACTCCCGAAACCGTCTACGATTCCGGCTGGAAATATAGTCGTCTATTTATCAAATGTGTTGCCCCTTCTGCATTTCCGTCAAGTGTTGTTCTTTTTTTTAGCGTAATTCAAATAAATCGGAGAAAATCCTTCTAGAGTTCCAAGTAACTCCGAGGTCTGTCGA